TTTTTTTTTTTTTTTTTTTGAATTTATTCTACTTTATCATGTAGTTAGAACCTAAAGAACGGAGAAATAGATATCGATAAGAAGTAGTTAAATAAAATGTTGATTAAAAGATTCAGTTACTTAACAGAAGATTAACGTTTTGTAAATTGATGTGAAATTAAAAATAAAATTTTTTGTCAATATATAATGAACTTTTGATAAATTTATTCATCTTGTAAACAGTACGTTTACTCCTAATTATTTGTAGTGTTAGTTCCCAGAAAATTATAACTTGTTTTAGTAGTATTCTAAACGGTTTCTATTCATCTAAATAATGTCAGAAAAGTACTGTTGGCTAGTTCACTACTCCCTTGAATTTTTAGGTTTTTGCCTATTAATAGAACTATGTGCAGGACCATTTGAAATTGTGATCGGTAAGAAACGCTTGAATAACGAAAAAATGAGAAACTATAAAACCGATCATACTGATAATGTTTAAGAAACTTATTTTTGCTGTTATGCAGCAAAATTTTCGCAGTTTTTTAAGCACAAACAATTGGGAAACTAAAATGTAGTAATCAACTTACTTGAATGACCACTCGAATATCAATAGCATTATTTTTTCTTTTTAAAGCTATTATTTGACAAATTAAGTATAAATAGCCGTCTATTTTAGTGTTTTAAACGGTAGAAACATTTCAACTTTCTTCGCCTATAAAACTGTTTATTAAGAAAACAGTTGATGAAAAAGTCAAAGATGCTGTCAGCCCAATATGCACTGTAAGTGGCTCGGAAAAACAAAAGACATTAGACGACAAAAAAGCTCCAGTACCAAAAGAAGAAGTAGAAAGACAAGAACTAACTGAAAAAACTGTCGAAGTAAACGCTTCTTGGTCATTTGTTAGATAAATACCTTGAAAGAAATTACCAAGCAGTAACCTAAAGTATTTTTCTGTTACTGATACTTGAAACTTAATGTGTTTCAAGTGCTATTTCTTTCTTAAATACTAAAGCTTCTTACGCTGTTTCCAACCCGCTTCTCTTTTGAAACATGATAGAAATTTAAAAAAACCATGGTTTCCAAGTTTCTCTACCTAACTAATCTGTTTTTTTTATTTTGAATTAATCACATTTTAAGAGTTATATTGATCTTGAAAAAGCAGTTTATCGTCTGGAAAAAAAAAATGTCTTAAAAAAGTACGAGTCAAAAGCAATATTCGCCGACGATATCAAAAAGACCCTTGATCAATTGGAAGCCACCTATAAGGAACTCAAGAAACAAACGTTAGTAGCTTAGATTAAATTTCTTCACCTTGAGTTGACTGTGAAGTTATAAAGACCTTAAGTTTAACGTGTTCATGTCATAAAGCTCACGCATTTACTGGTTACTAAGACATAAAAAAGTTAAAAAGATGTTGCGCGTAATCAGAGTTTTTAACCTGAAACGTCTTTAAAAATACCACAGGTATCAGACCGTCTCTTTTCTTTCAGAGACAAAGAAAAAGCAGATGTCGATAACATAGAACAACCAACTGTTCGGTCCTTCCTGAAGCAACAAGTAAAGATTAAGCTTTTAAATTTCAGGCAGGACCTACTGTTAGTCGTAACATAGAATAATTTGAAGCTTACTAGTCAATTTTCAAAAACAAAAAGCCAAAGTGCGTAACATTACATAATTCGTACTAACAGTTTTCTCTGCTCTCTTCCACATTTTAAACATCTTCTTCTAGGGAACTTGGAGCGATCGGTACAACAAGGAACAAGAGGAATATCTTCAGGCTTTGAACAAACAGGAAATAGCCGAAAAGGTACATCTGTGTAAACGTAGCTAATCTTGTCACATTTTTTATCGATTGTAAAAAGTCATTACCTATGATGCCATATGCTATACTCCTCGCAGTTTGATTTTTCAACTGATAGAGAACTTTATCAGAAAATAGTCTAAGAAGATTAATGTGACCAGCTACAGCAATTTCATGCACCTGCCTATTTCTGAAACAAATTTTTAAAAATGACAGTTCAAACATCGTATTCAAGGAAATGAATGGAGCTCGTAAACAGTATGAACGAGCAGCTCGTATAGCAGAGATCTACAAACAGCAGTGTGACAGACTTCGAAATCTTCACGAACAACAAGACAAGATGCTAAGTGAATTTACAAAAAAGCTTAAAATTTAAATCCGTTCATCTAAACTTAGGTGCTAAAAGTTCACCTAACCCTGTCAGTTAAAATGTTCTAGTGGTAAATGCCAACAATTGGCTTAAATGATCTAAACACTGGCTGCTTGAAGTCATTAACAGTAAGAAACTTTAAGAAATTTGGCTGAAAAAGTGCTTTCAAAGTATTTGATTAATTAAGCAAGTATCTTTGGTCCCGATTATGCCAGTGAAAAGGAGAATCGGCTAGAAGCAGAATTAGACGATACAACTGAGTGGCAGCAACGTGTTTCTCTCGCCAAATTTAAGTGGACTAATGGACGAGTTCTTCTTGTGCACGCGTGCACTCAAATGGCGTTTGGAATCACACGATGGAAAGGCCTGGATCAAATAGATGCTGAGTAAGCCGGTCCCCTACCTGTAAAAAAGTTATTTTTTAGATTTTGCTTCGGATATCTTGTAGGAATACTCGAATGCGATATTTTGCTGCTGCTGAAGCACGCAACAATTTTATTGCAGCTGGACAAAATGTGCAGTCGTGCAGAATCTATCTAGGAAAGGTAGGTAACAGACGAACGTGCTAGAATATACAGACAAATATTTAACGAATAATTTCTGAGTTAGTAAATAACATATTTTGAGAGAGCTTAACAGAAGTGCTTTTTTCGAAGGTCAAGTTTCCTTACTGTACGGAAGAAGAGATGGCCGAGATGGAAAAAACGATAAATACAGCGTTCAATGACATTCAGTCAAATGAAACACTAAAAAAAGCGCTGTCGGTGTACAAACACACTCATAAAAAGGTCAAAACACTACTCTATCAGAATTAAATTTCTGATACCATTCAAGTATTAGAGAAGAAATGTCTTGGTAAATTTACTTTCCTTGAGCGAAAAAATTTTTTAGGTAGCAGCTTTAGTACAGTGGTTTGACAAAGTCATTAACGAAACAATTTTAAAAGACCTAGAGAAAGCAAATAATGAAGTATGTCAACTTTGAATTCATTTTTTTATATTGTTATAACCTTTTATAACTGTTAAAAAAAGCTAATAAAACTGCTTTTTTTATTTATAGAACAAAAACCCTTCTTAGAAGAAATAAATAAAAATTTTTTTCAGCTTCTTATGATATATGTGCTGATTCGACTGCATTATCTTATTGCTATTATTAGGTATTTCCAAAAAAAACCACTTCAAAAGGATTTTAATTAAGTCTTTTATTAGGTAAAATAATGACTAAAAGCACTTTGTAAACGACTGTCGAAACCCAGCAGAAAAAAAAAATGCAAAAATTTCCTTTGTTTTATTGAGTTCTAGATTATCAAAAAGCAAAAGCAGTTACGTGAAGAACGTCTTTCGTTGATGAAAAAACGAGTGAAAGAAGCAATGGGAAAAGAATTAACTTTTGATTACGACGACGACACAGTGGATGAGTTAGACCAAGAGCTTCTAGCCCTTGAAGCTGATAAGGCTGAAGATGACGACCAGCTTCCTGGAAAACAGTTAACAGTTGGTTTTTACAAAAAATCATTTCTGACCAATGACAATTTTTAATAAAAATTTAAAAACTATAACAGACGACAGAAAAACAACTGCGGGATAAAAATGACCGAAATTGTTTTTGGGAGAGAAAATGGAATTTTTTAGGAAATCTTAAACCTTTCGCAACCAAATGGAAGAGACCCAACTCCGGTATCACAGTCGAAGTTAGCGCCGATACCTGACAAAGACGCTCTTTTTGGTGGGTTTTAAGACACATTTGAAAACCCAACTGTAACGGTTTGGGTCAAGCTGACGAGGTTTGTTGTATGGGTGTAGAAATAAAGAGATAGAAGAAAAACGGGGCATTACAGGAGATGTCAAACAGAAGCTTGATGAATATGATAGCACAAGAAAAGCCATTGAAAAACGAAACTTGCTGGAACGCGAAAAACAAGAGATAGAATTAAAAGTTAGTTTTTTTTAACATTACTTTTTCAAGTGTCACAGAAAGTTGTGT